GAATTTTCCTTTGGATTTGACAGTTTTTCTAGGTTAGTTGCACATTGATGGAGATATGTTCAATTTTATTTAAGGCTTGGGATATGGGTTCAAATTTATGGTACAATGTTTCTGTTAGCAGATGAGGTTCATCAATTAGTTGAGGTGCACTATGTGTTCTCTTGTAGAGTTTGTAATATGAGCGGTTAATCTAATATTTATGTGAGGGTATATGTGGACTAAGCAATATAACCTCTAAACACTTCGTCCAACTTTATTGCATGGTTATTAATTTATTAATTGCGTTGGAGCTGGAACAAGTTTTTAACTGTCTATCTTACTTTTTGGCTGTGTACGACCATGTTTTCGTCTGATGTTGCATTAGTAGCATCTTGGGACATGGAAGGTTTGTGTGTTATAGGATTGTATGGCTCGTGTTGTGTTTGGTAAGTGTTGGTGTAACATCATGATTTTACACCCAAAAATTTTTATTTTTTTAAAAACACTTTTTAACTAGAATACGTTAGTGGAAGTCTTATTTTGAATTTTACAAAAAACATCCCTAATGTTGCTTTACTACCAAAGCAATGCTCATCAAATTTAAAGTTCCTAAAACCAACTCGAAAAAAGTTCTCAAAACCAAGTGTAATGAAAACTCCACGACATGACTAAAATGGTATCATTACTAAATATACACTAAAGATAACACCCAAGAGACCCCGTCATCAACAAACCATCAGACTACGCTACATTTACGAATTCAAGGCAAACAACAAGCAAATAAACACATGTCAGCATATGCTAAGTTCGCTAATCATATGTATAGTGTTATGGAACGCACATATCACAAATGAGTCAAACAAAACATCATATAAATATTCATTCAAAAACTCACAAAGCATGCCATCAGATACATCATATAATCATCAAAATAATGCTCAATTGTTATTCTTCTTTAGAGCCTTTAGTTTTAGTTACACTTTATTATTCATCTTTGTAACAAGTTACTACTTCATACATCGCTAAAATATTATAAGATAATATTAATCTTCAATTTTATCATTAATAATTACTCTCCTCTCAATCACCTTTATAATGGTTATTATAATACTTCCTATTTATAACATGCGTGTATGGATCTGACTGGGGTCTCTCCTCTCGTTGGTTTGGGGAATGGGGGTTTCAGAGCTGGGCATGCCGCTTTGAAAACCGCCGCGTGCAAAGTGGTAAAGCATGAGAATGCATGTATAGAAAATCAACATGTGTTTGTACCTTTTGCATTCGATACATTTCGTTTTCTCGCACCAGAGGCGGTGTAGCTCCTCAATAGAGTCCAACGGGTCATGCATTCTAATGTCATATCTCCTAGATCCACAAATGTTGTTTTCAAAAGAATTGGTTTTGCCATCCAGAAAGGGCTAGCGGCGCAGCTTGTTTCCCGTTTGCCTTCAATCGATATGTATTGAACTTTATTAGTAATATACAAGTAAGCATATGTAGCTCTATATACTCATCAATAACCCCAAGCCAAGTATCTCGTTCGCTAATAAGGTGACCGACATGACACAATGCACTAAGTGAGGCGCGACTCTCACCTGTAACATCCACCTCGGTTGTTGTTGTGTTCACTACTCAAAATTTTCATATACTAGTTCATGCGTTGTCGTTAAGGATCGGTACAAGCGATGCCAATTCCATCATTTTACACATCTGAAATCCCACGTGGTGTTTGTAACACCCCATTTTCACCTTTTAGTCAGATTCAATATATTGTTTATAAAATTCAAAATAAAGATATGTTACTTTTTAGTCGAATTAATCTTCAAAAATATCTAGGAATCGTTAATATAACTTCCGTAGAAATATACAATGCCCGAATCCGACATCCTATGAAGAATTTATGCTTCTTTGAAGTTTCGTGATTAAACCGACATGGCTATGAATGTCATAAAATAAGAATTAGAGATAGCCTAAGTAATCTAAATGAAAGTCTTTGTAATCATAGAACCAAGAGCGTTCATGTAGAGAACGCCTAAATCCGAATTCTCTTGAGGAAGTTGTGATTTTTCGAAGGTTCTACTCAGTAGTATGGACACAAAAATCAAAATTCAAATAAGTTGATTGTTAGCCGAAAAAATCTAAACGAGATTTTAAGGACTTATGAATATGAACCTGCCAATATAAAGACATTCGAGAATGGAGTTCGTATGAAGGAGTTATGAATTTTGCTCGAACTTTAACAATATAAGTGTTCTAAAAATATTAAATAAAAAATAAAGTGAGAATTAGGCAACAAAATCTAAACGAAAGTTGTAGATCTCATTGATAGATGTGCATAGATATAGAGAACATCGAAAACGGAGCTCGTATGAAGAAGTTACAAAATTTACAAAAAGTAGAAAATTAAACGCATATGCACGCTTTGCGCGGTGCACAACCTTCTAGAAGGCGAAACGTAGACCACCAGGAAAGTGAAACATGGCACGAGCTGGAGGAGAGATGTCACAGAAGCACACAACATGCACCCCAGATGCATGCGGTGCACCTGGCAAAAATTGCCTATAAATAGCTTCATTTGTCCCCTTTCATTTCTCACCCCATCCTCAAACTCTCTCAACACTTTAGAATTTATTTTGAGGACTTTCTTGGGATTTTTATGTACTTATTACATAGAAAAGCTCTAGGAATCTAGGATCGATTAGGAGAAGCTTTCAGGTCAAAGTTCTGCCGGTGCAATCTTCTAGTTTCATTATAAACCTTCTGTAATTTAGGCTATGCTTACTATGCTTTAGGTGTTGCT